GGTGACCAGGAGCAGCCACTGCACTCCAGTCTGGGTGACAGAGTGAGACTCCCAACTCACACACACACACACACACAAATAATAAAATAAAATAAAATAGGGCAACCCCCACAGGTACCCTCCCACTCTGGGAGTTTTTCTGTCCTCTCAATAAATCCTGCTTAAAAAAAAAAAAGGCCGGGTTTGGTGGCTCAGCCTGTAATCTCAGTACTTTGGGAGGCCAAGGCAAATGGATTGCCTGAGCCCACGGGTTCGAGACCAGCCCGGGCAATTTGGCAAGACCTTGTCCTACAATAAATAAAAAATTAGCTAGGCACGGTAGTGCACGACTATAGTTCCAGCTACTTGGAAGGCTGAGGCAGAAGGATCGCTAGAACCCAATAGGTCGACGCGGGGGTAGCCATGAATGTGCCACTGCACTCCAGCCTGGGTGACAGAGTGAGACTCCAAGTCAAAAAAAAAAAAAAACATTAAAATTGCCTGACTAGAGACACTAGTGAATAACCTCAGCAGCCAGCCTTGAGGGGCCAAGACCCCAGAGGACAGAGAGATGAGCACTCAGGCACAGAGAGGTCAGGCCCAGAAGCCTCAGAGCCCCAACCAATCAATGGTGACCAGGGCTGGGCAGACTCACAGGGCTGAGCACCAGGACTAAGAGTGAGGGCTCCCCAGCAGCCAGAGCTTGAGGGAGAAAGATAAACCTCATCCCACATTCTGAGTGCAATCTCCCCCAAGGCATGTGCCAGCTATCAGCTTTCAAATCATCAAGCAAAGAACATCTGGCAAGAGAATGAACACCAAGCAGGGAACTCAGCCACTGGAGGGTAATGCATGCAGCTGGGAAGGGCTACACCCTTGGAGCAGGACAAACTGGAAACACATTTGTCTCAACTGGACATAGGCCTTCAGCCTATCCTCTGCCTGATGGATGGAAGCTACCATCATCCTGAACCACTGTGATTTCTCAAGCACAATGTCTACAGAATACCAGGCATGCCAGAAGACAGGACCAAATGACAGAAAACCAAGAAACCACAAGGACCAACATAAATTAATACTACCTGAAACAATAATAACAATGACTTGTAGGGTTTTTAATATATGTAAAATTAAAATACATAAGAATAATAGCACCAAAGGCAAGAGAAGGATACGTGCCTTGTCTGGGAACCCTAATAAGTTAAGGATTCATATCAACTGCTCAGTATAACTATTAGAAGAATAGAAATGTTACCAACAAGCTAAGAGAGAAAAAAATAATAATATTTAAAATGCTGAATTGATCCAAAAAAGATGAGACAAATGAAAAACAAGACAGAAGTTTCCCCCCAACAAATCCATTACATTAATTATAAATACTCCTATTAACTGAATAACAACAAAATAAAACAAAATTCAACTATATGCTATTACAAGAGATATACCTTAAATATAAGGATATAGAGAGATAAAAAGAAAAAGAATGAAAAATTCTCTACTGTGCAAATATAAACCCAAAGCAGAGCTAAGTTAGCTACAAGGCTGACTTCAAGGAGAAAAGTATTTCCAAAGATAAAAAGAAACATTTCCAAGATAAAAAGTCAATTCAACAAGGAGCTATAACCAACTTAAATCTGTGTATTCCTAACCACATAGCTTCAGACCAAAAAGCAAAAACTGTTAGAACTAGGAGGAATAACTAATCTACAATTACAGTTGGACAAGCAAATCTATAATTACCTTTCTCCCAAAGATTAAACAAGATCTAAAAATCAGTAAGAATATGTAAAAATCTAAAATCACAGTTTGTAAACTTGACCTAACCAATACATATAAAGCACTGCATCCAACAACTGCAAATATATAGCCCTTGAACGTTCACTGAAATAGACCACATGCTGGGCCACAAAGCAAGTCTCAACAGATGTCAAAGGACTGAACTTCTTTAGTGTGTTCTCCAACCACATTGGGATTAAGCTTGAAATCAGGAAGAGATTTCTAGGAAATCTCCAAATCTCTGGAAATCTCAAGAAGCCATGGGTGAAAGAAGTCAATGGAAATTAGAAAATATTGTGAACTGCATGATAAATCTCAATTAAAATACTCAACAGACTACTTTGGAGGAAGTCAACAAGCTAATTATAAAATTTAGTTGGGAATGCAAAGGGCCAACAAGGGGAAAGACCATCTTTAAGAACAAAGTTCAGCCAGGCTCGGTGGCTCAGCCTGTAATCCCGCACTTTGGGAGGCCAAGGTGAGTGAATTGCCTGAGCCCGTGGGTTCGAGACCCTCCTGGGCAACTTGGCGAGACCTCATCTCTACAATAAATAAATAAATAAATTAGCCGGGCGTGGTAGCACGCGCCTGTAGTTCCAGCTACTTGGAAGGCTGAGGCGGAAGGATCGCCAGAACCCAGCAGGTCAG